CCCCTGCCGGCGGGGGCTCCGGGCTCCGGCTTGAGGCGGGGCCCGCGGGAGGAAGCCCGAAGTTGGTTCTATGGATGCGTTGCCAGAATGCTTTTCCTGGGAGCAAAGTACAAATCCCTCACGTTGGAAATCCATAACCTGTGATCAATGCCCGTGGCAGCCTCTGGGAATGAGGAAGGAGAGGCCCGCCCGCAAATGACAGGGGCGATCCTGCCGCCCGTCTAGGGGCTTTTCTGGGAAAGGCGCCCTGCGACCTTGGATCGCCCTCATTTTCTTCTCTCCAAACCCGAGTATGGGATCACTTTTGTCCTTCCTGCTTTGGGTCCCTCTCAGGCCACGTGGAGTCAAGTGGGGCCGAGCTTCTCGATCGCTTGATCTTCTTGATCGCTTGATCTTCGCGATCACTTGATCTTCTCGATCGCTTGGCTGAGTCCATTTCAGTCCGGAATGAAAAGCTGTAGAATCAAGTCAAGCCAAGTCACAAATACTGTTTTTTCCCCCCTTTGTTTAAGACTGTTTTAGACTTACAGCTCTTATCAAAATCCATTAAAAAAAGACTTAGAATTTAATATGGGTAGGAGAATGATTCCCCAACCCCACATCTCCTCTTTCAGAGAGCAAGTTGGGAAGTACAGAGGAATATAGACTATTCATCTTTGTTTACCTCAGCAACCTGACAGTGACAAAGGGTGGGGTACCTGGGAACAATCTTCCTTGGGCGGTGGCGTCTTCCCTTCCATGTGCAGTAGAGTGATTGAGGGTTTGGGCAGCCCCTCGTGATTCGTGATTTTAGGTTCGAATACCCATGGACAGAGACGGAAAAACAAAACAAAGCAAAATAACAAACAGTCGCCATCGAGTCAAATCCCAACTCCACGAGGTCCCACATGTGTGCACAGAACTGTGCTCCATGGTCTCAGACCTTTACCTGGTCTTTGGAGGCACCTCCAACCTGGGAGCATCCGTTAGCAGCCAAGCAAGTTTGCCCCACACAGGGCAGAGATAAAAGCAAAACCCAACCCACTGCCTTCAAGTCCTTCTGAGCCTGGAAGGAACTAGGGTATCCCGGGGACATTAAGGCTTCCAAGGCCCCTTTTGGCCCCCGGTTTCTCCCGATTGCTGGGGCAGGCTGTGGATATCCCCAGATAAGATTGTGGTATCTGGGGTCTTGGTCAGTTTGTGAATTCCAGCGTTCACATGTATCAGGAAGCTGGGCTGGGCATGGGATCTTGAGGTGGACTCTCAACTTCCAGTGCCTCTTCAGGAGTTACCTGCACCATGTCCAGCAAACCTGAGAAGAAGCGGAAATTGGGCGCCCGGCAAGGCACCCGGGGAGGCAAGGCTGGGCGAGCTGCTCAGGCTGCTCAGGCCAAGGTGGTGCCACCGACTCCTGTGGAGAGCATCCTCCCGCCCACGGAGCAGGAGCCGGAACCAGAGCCTGTCAAGGAGCAGCCCGGTGGGTACACACAGCCAGGATGGGATGCTTAGAAATGGAGAGTGGGATATTTGCAGCTAGGGAGGGGAGGGTTTCAGGGATCAGGAGCAGGCTCTGTTGGATGTGGGTAAGAAGTAGACATTAAGTCCAACACTCCCAAGCCGTTTTTAATGCCTTTCTCTTGATCAGCCTCATGGCTTTTTTCTTTCTGTCTTAAAATTTCCCACCAGTGCACTCAGGGTTCATCAGCCAATCTTTTCGCTAGCCTCTTCCTCCCTATGTTGCTTCTCTCCCACTGAAGAGGGTCTGATCTCTTCCTTTTTCCTGTTTTCACCCTGGGTGGCAAAACAAATAGTTTTTTCCCCCCTTCTATTAAGCCCATCACCATGGAGACTCAGCCTGCTTTGCCACTCTTGGAATCCTAAGCTCAACTGATGCTTTCTACCATCTGTTTAAGGTTCTTGTATCTCCGCCCTCGTTTGGCAGAGACTTGGTAGACTCAGGAGTTCAGGTTCAGGGTGACAGGAAAAGAAGCCTGCCATCTTAGATTAAGGGAGAAAAGAGTTTGAAGGGGCTGCCTCGTGTGGCTTTGTTCTGAGGGATTCCTTTCCTGTGGGTGAGGGGGAGCCAAGAGGGCTGGGAGGTTTGGGTAGTGGGTTCTGTCACAGGGGCAGGGGGGGATGGTAGCTCCTTAGAGCAGCAGTTCTCAACCTGTGTGTCGCAACCCCTTTGGGGGTCGGACGACCCTATCACAGGGGTTGTCGCCCGATTCATCACAGTAGCAAAATGATAGTTATGAAGTAGCAAGGAAAATAATTTTATGGTAGGGGGGGGTCACCACACATGAGGAAGGGTATTAAAGGGTCGTGGTATTAGGAAGGTTGAGAACCACTGTCTTAGACCATAGGCCAAGGATGGACAGCACTGAATTACGGGTAGAGTGCTTCTTTTATCTGGAGCTTCATTGTGAGCAGTCAAGATGGAGGGAAATAGAATCCTCTTTTAATATTAAAAGCAGCTCTGATGGCACAGTGGTTAAGTGCTTGGCTGCTAACCAGAAGGTCGGTGGTTCGAACCTACCAGGAGAAAGATGTGACAGTGTGCTTCAGTAAAGGCGACATTCTTGGAAACCCCATGGGGCCGTCTTACACTGCCCTTTAGGGTTTGTTGGGAATTGGAATGGACTCATGGGCAATAGGTTTGAACTTTTTTTAAAAAATAAGGTTGAAAGATTAAGTATAGATATGGGAGAAAGATCCGAGGTACTAAGGATCTAGGACGTAAGCCATGTGCAAAGTATTTTTCTTTTGAAGGGATTAACTCATTGCTTAGGAGACGCTGAGCTCCTTTCTGTTAGCTGTTACTGGCGATGGAAAGATTTGGAAACAGAAAATGGTGAATGTTGTCTAACTTGATGAACACACTTTTATTAAATTGTACATGTGAAAACGAAATGACAATAAGAGTATATTAAACGACCCCCACCTCAGTTCAAAAATGCACAGTTGGAAGCATTTTAAAATGGGACAGGTTCCTAGAAGCTGGAAGTAGGGAAGGAGAGGGGAGCCTCGAAGCATGGCGTAGAGAAGCCTCTGGGAAGAAAGGGAGAGGGCTTCAAAATGAACTCCTTGGCCTCCAAACCCTAGGATCTCTGATTCCCCCAGCTTTATGCCTTGTGGGTTGATAAGGCACCCTCCAGTTGACCTGTAGCCTATGTAGAGGCTCAGCAAGCATCTGGGCCTCTAGCACAGCCCTGAAACGAATGATCTCTGTAATCTTTGGAACTGGGGAAGGACTGTCTCATTGAAGCCAAAAAAAAAATCAAACCCATTGCCATAGAGTTGATGCCAATTCATGGTGCCCTGTGTAGGGTTTCTGGGGGAAGCAGATAGCCTCAACTTCCCCAGAGTGCTGGTGGGTTTGAACCACTGACCCTGCAGGTAGCAGTTCAATGTTTGCCTAATATTATTACCAGGGCTCCTAAAGTCAGAGGAGCCTAAAACACCTGTTGGTGAAGGATGGTAGGTTAGAGAGAAAACCCACTTTGAGTTCCTGTATTGACATCTTGCTTCTCAATTTTCATTAACAAGACAAAAAAAAAAAATGGTAGTGCTGGTTCACCTTATCTGTAATTTAAAAAAACTCTAACAACTACAAGTTTTCCCCCCAGAGTTTGGCATCCAAGCTTATTTGGTGGTAAAACCTAACCTAAATTGACATAAAGGTATTTATAGGCCATTAAAGCCACTTACTATAAATATCCGTATGCATTATTGCAGAAATACTAAATATATCAAGCATTTGATTGTGGAATCTGTTCTAGAGCCCACAGGATGTGGGTAGGGGTAGGGGTGAGGAAGGAACAGAGCAAGGGAGGTACTACATTCCCTGTGCATTAATTGCTAGCAATGATTCTGACTCATGGCAACCTCATATGATTTAGAGTAGACTTGTGCTCCATAGGGTCTTTTTGCTCATTGGTTTATTTTTTAAATTTTATTGTAAATTGAGTAGAGATTTACAGAGCAGATCAGTTTTCCATCCACCAATCCATACACATTTTGTTTCGTGTCATTGATTGCAATCCCCTGTGTTTCCTGTTTCAATTTCTCCATCTTTCCTAACTCTTCTGAACATTGTCATCTAGTAAATGCTGCTGTTTTGATTTCAAATGCTTGATTAGTTTAAGATATGCATAGCACCTTAGTGTTAATTGTTTCCTTTATAGCTCACTGTCATCGAGTCAATTCCACCTTACCATGACCCTGTCTAGGATTTCTTGGACTATAAATCCTTACAGGAGCAGATAGCCACATCTTTTCCCCTGGAGCAGCTGGAGGGTTTACACCACCGACTTGTGGTTAGCAGTCCATTGTCTGATCCATAGTGCCACCAGGGCTCCTTCGTCTGGCTTAAAATTGAACCATGGGGGCGAGTTTATTTTCAGGCCTGAAGGGTGACTAGAGGCCAATTCTGGAGGGTCTTAGCAGTCATGATGGGGCCAATAAAAAAATAAAACAAAACCCACTGCCACTCAGTCTATTCCAACTCCCAGTGACTGTAAATCGTTTTTTTTCTTTAATCATTTTATTAGGGGCTCATACAACTCTCATCACAATCCATTCATACATCAATTGTGTAAAGCGCATTTGTACATTCATTGCCCTCATCATTCTCAAAACATTTCCTCTCCACTTAAGCCCCCGGCATTAGGTCCTCAAGACTGTAAATCTTTATGGGAGCAGATAGCCTGAACTGTCACCCATGGAGGGGCTAGTGGGTTTGAACCTTGGTTAACAGTCCAACAACACCAGCAGGGTTCCTTATCTGACTCTGGTCTCTTTGATGACTTTGACTTTGGTTGCCAGGTACCATCTAGTTCTGATCTCAGGATTGTGTTGACTGATGTTCAAGTGGCCTGTTAGTTCGTTGGACTTCTGTTTCCAATTCTCACTCCTCTGGATAGGGAGAGACTAATACTTATCCCTTAGATGGCCATTTGGGAGCTTTTAAGACCCCAGCTAGTGCTCATCACAGTAGGATGTAGAACACTGTTGTTGCTCATTATGCTGTGCCAGTTGACCTTGGTGTCCCTGAGACCAGGGTCCTGAGTCGCCAGGCCCAGTAGCTCCTCCGTCCCTCAAGGTGTTTGGTTATGTTCAAGTTTTCCTGGTTTTGCCTCCTGTGTGTCCCACCATATTCGTGGATATATTTTCAGAAAAGGCAAGCATACATGTACATGTGCCCTCTGTCAAGGTACATATATATATTCATAGATATGCTTCCACTCTCCCTCCCACACCTTTCAGCCTGAGTGCCTAACCATGCGTCACTTGTAGATCACTCTTACTGCAGGACTGTGGATTTAACAACATTGATATCTGTTGCTTTTAACGTTCACACTGCCTCCATCTTTTTTTTGGCTGACTTTCCTCTCTTATTGCAGATTGCCTTCCCCTTCACCAAAGCAAACACAAGTCTACACCTGGCCAGTGGGTTCTCCTCCGCTCCCCTCTCACCCTTGGCAACCATCAACTAATGTTTCTTTTAGTGTGAAAACCTTTTCTAGACTTTCTCATTCCATATTTCTCCTCTCACGATTGACTAATTTCACTCAGCAGAATGCTTTTTTCTTAAAAAAAAAA